ATAAAACCTCTCACTGTCAAACAAAGATTCTGTCCTATACCATGCAGTACAGCTGCACATGTAGGGCAAACAGCTTACCTTGGGTAACGTAAATCTTACAGATCGCAGAAGGAAATGTTTGCCAGAGTCTCTTTAGAGCTGTACAGTTATTAATAATCTGACGGAAAGATCTCTCAATCCCAGACTCTACTGCAGTTACAAAATAAAAGTTTTTTTAATAGCTTACTATGCTTTATGAAAATGTGTTCTATTATGATTGTTCATCACTCAAATGTAACATTTTGGACTTAAATGCAAATTAAGCCCTTAGGTTAATAATCATAGACTAATACGGTCAGATCTTAGCTACTGAAAATCTTGGATATATCACTACACCCATTACTTTCATTCACAAGTTAAAATTCAAATCAGAAATCCTTCGTAAAAGCATAACTGAAAATTACTACACAATACAATAAATCTATCAGAAACAAGGCAGTGATTAAAAAGCATAGATAGTGTAAATACACATATTTTTAAGATTATTCCATAGGTTAAATATTATTTTAATAAATAATATTTGGCTCTGTCCTGTTTTCTAAAATACATAAAAATGAGTATAATAAATATATACATATGCAAATGCATCTATAGATCTATGATAAAAATTATTTAAACTCCTATTTTTCCTGAAGCCTACTGACCTCAAGAAGACTAATACGAGGGTAACCACAGGAAAAAAAAAAATTGAAGAATTTCGGTCCCTGGTGCATTGTGAGAGAGAAAGAGAGAGAGAGAGAGAGAAAAAACACTTAAACTGAATACTTGATTATTGAAGGCCAACCTCATAAGCAAAATGTTTTCCCTCAATTACACCTAATTATTTAATTGTTTACATTTACTAATGAAACGAAACAAAACAAACAACTGTAAGGGGCTGTTTTTCAGCAAGTAAGTAATCATCAATCAACATGTACAGAAAGATTCTTAAAATTATATGAAGCTGGTCTGTTGAAATAGAATGGCATATTTTATCCCAATCAATGCATAAAAGTAAAATTATCCATAACTGAGGCATGTTTCTCTGCTGTACAGTTCAGCTGTAATGATCCCCACACACTGCACTTGCACATCAATTATGATAATCATAATCACGGTCGTTAAGCTGAATGTTCATTATTATCAGGATGCTGGTGACAGCAGATTCAATCACCGGGTGCAATGGGCAAGCAGTCACAGTCCCACCCAAGTTTCTGCAGACAGCGATGTGCCACATTAAATCTCTGATGTGTTCCACATCCCACTCCATTCCAAAAGCTGTAGACGGTAAAGGTCAACTTTATGTTCTGTGCAATATGCTTAGGTTCTCTAAATTAATTCTTCGGAGTACTAGATATCTTTATGCTTTGTAGCTTATGAAATCCTGTTTAGGACGAAAATGTATGTGAAAATAACAAAAAAGGGCTGCCCTACTGTTGTAATTCACCTACAATAAGGCATATGAAGAAAGGCTCTATGAACATGAGCCGTCTCAAAAGTCTCTTCCTGAACTCTGCAAACATGGGAAAACATGAAATCGTTCCATTAAAATCAATTGTCTAAAATGCATATGAGAACTCATTCCAATTTAGATAAAGGCCTTAGACTATTACTTCTGCTTCAGTAAATATGAACATATGTGAATGTTTTGACAACCAAAAGAATGTTTCTAGTACACTGTATTTTTGCATTGTCCAACTCTTTTAGATCTACCCAAATAGATTAAATTAATAGTGACTGACTGGTATATACTCCTTATTGAACTTCACTTTTATTTTAAAGATTGATATCAGCATGATAAAGGATTTATAAATACAAATTATTTACCTGAACTTAAAAAGTTTGACCATTTAAGACACAGGCCTACCAATCTAACAACTTAAGTTGGAGCATTTTATGAATAGATTAAAGAAATATGCGTAAGTGATATGATATGTTTTATTATATTTTTTCTTATAGATTTCCATGCTTTTAAGAAAAATAATATATATGTTAGTTTTCATTATTGATTTTCATACTATGAAGAAAAAACTGTACTATTTGCTCTCCATGTGTTGACTTTGTGATGTCCTTGTATAGTGTTATTTGTATCAACAGCATTAAACATAAAAATACTAAATAATATTTTATATTTGAGTTAATGTGAATGTGATCAGAGAAACAGTACCTAATTAACATTTGATTTTCTCTCAACTGATACCTTTCAACATCGTGTAACAAATCATTTGAAAATTATAACCTCCACGCCTATAGAAGATAGAAGAGAAAGGGATGATCTTAAAACATGATGGAAAATGTGGAGAAACAGGAACCACCTATATTTAATTGAGCTGTTTCTTGGCTGAAATCAATTTACTGCTTTCAACTCAATGTCATGTACATTTAAATGTTTGTAAACAGTTTGTCTTCCCACAGAAGAAGCACAAACCAGGTCAGCTTTCCTTCTTCAATATTTGGAGCTTAGTAACTCTAGCTCCCCTAAAACTATCCTTACTCCACTAATAATGAATAAATTGTTAACTACAACCTCAGTAATCAAGAAACAAAGTTTTGTACAAATAAAGAAAAAGAAGCCTACCTTTAGTAGTTTACTGGACCCAATTCTCACCCAAATCACTTAATATCAAGTCAAAATATAAATTATGTCTAATAGTTGTAAGATTTAACATATAAACAACAAAATGTCTCCCCCCTATATTGTGCGGATTACATTAGCCACACAGAAGAATGATTTGTTTATTTAATATGGTTATTTGAAGAGTTAGAAAGCAGTAAGAAATAAGGACGGAATGGAGAGAAGAAGGAATTTCAATTTGTTTTTAGTATTTTTCTACATGATTTTACGTAGGGTTAAGTGGATTCATGATTTAATAAGATTTTTAAAATCCCTACACGTTTCCATCTTAATTTTGGGGGCCTACAAGAACAATTATTTGTCATTAACTTTTAAAGTATGTATACTTTCTAAAAGTATACAGAGGCACACAATGATTCCTCAAAAGAACAAAATAAACTATTTTTCACTTTAGCGAGTAACCAAAAGTCTATGTCCATGAAGTTGCTTACTTCAGTAAGACAAATGCATATTCTTTTTTTTAATGTTTCATGTATTTATTTTGAGAGAAAGCGTGTGTCTGCACGTGAGAGAAAGCCAGCGTGGCGGAGGGGCAGAGAGAGACAGAGGGAAAGAGAGAATCTTAAGCAGGCTCCATGCTTAGCCTTGAGCCTGACCAGGGGCTCAATCCCACCACTGTGAGATCACAACCTAAGTCGATATCAAGAGTCAGACATTTAACCCACTGAGCCACCCAGGCACCCCAGATAAATGCATATTCTTGGAATGTCAGAATGTATGAGGTGAATCTGTCATATAAAACCAAAAAGAACTGTATTATTTTAGGAAAGAAACATTTGCACAAGAATCTTTCTTACTGTAAAGTAGCTTAATGTCCTAAGGTAAGTCATTTATGTTTTAAAGAAATGAACACTTCCTTGAATTAAATAAAATGGTGAGAGGGCATAAGAGCAAAAGATGTTTATGTCAAATAGAAATAAGATGTAGATTATATTATGCACATTCAAAATACGAAATTAAATAGTTTGAAAATTATATTTAGCTTATATTCTAAATGGTTGCATATTAGGTAAAAGCAAATGTCTAGAATACATCATCACCAAATATTTAGGTTTGCCAATCAAGGAGTTAGGAAGAACTACTCACTGTACACATTCCTTATGCTGTGGAATTATTATTTAGTATTTTAGAGATCATTTTTTAAGAAAGATGACTTAGTAGGTGAAAAGAAAAAGGCACTTTCTAAAGAATCCACAGCATTCCTCAGTAACTTACCCTTGGTAATCCCATGGTTACAATATCCTAAAAAAAGACTTTTTCTTAGAGTTTAGTAAAATAAAGAAAGATCTCATTTTTCTTAAGGGTCTAACATGTTTCTTCCTCTTGAGTAATGAGGATATGTCTATAACTTGTGTTTTCCTCTTCATCTTCGCCATCTATAAGCTGAAATTCTTGCTGCCACTGCAGTAATGTTCCCTTTATTTTGTGAGCATAGGCAACTGTTCTCATTTAAGATCACTTTCTCTTATTTTTATTTCTAAAATATAACCTTTGCTGTATTTGCCTTTTAGTATGGTACCTTAAATCCTTTTGGAAGGAGGCCGTGTATAAATGAATAAATCCTCATTGACAGACTATTAATAGAACCAGTATGTCTAATATACTATATAGACCTCAGTGGCTTTAACCCTTTTCCAAAAAGTCACTTACAACTTCACTTATCTGTGTAATTATTTTTGTAATTAAGTTACAGTTTCTGTTAGATAATAGGACAAACACACAGTAACAACTTTCATTGGCCTCATATTATACAAGAAATCTTGGTGTTTTTCCTATTTAGAAATTTTTATGTAAATGCTAACAAATATAACTCTGGAGTCATTTAATATTTATTTGCCTCTTCTTTTCTATATCATATTATATATTCCTATCTATCTATCCACCTATCATCTATCTATCTATCTATCTATCTATCATCTATCTATCTATCCATCTATCCATCCATCTATCTATCCATCTATCTATGTATCCATCTATCTATCATCTACTTCTCCATCTATCCACATACACAACAGAGGTTGAGAGAAAACAGCCAAGCGCTGATCTCCGTGCCTGAGAAGTGGACTCTACTCTGTAATCGCAGATTCAAACTTTGACCCTGACTGGCTTTGGCAAAGCCATGATGCATGTCAGACATCATAGGGTGGCTGACATATAACACTAAAAAACAAAAACACAAACCTTTCACTGCCACAAGTCGGCAGTGTCATGTATAAACAAAATAGCTATAAATAATTTTATAACCAGGAAAGTGTTACCTGCAATGAGAATATTTATATTTGTTGCAATTGGTGCATATTTTTAGCCTTTCCAAAGGAACATCATTTTTAAATGTTCACCGACTTACCTTGTCACAGATCCATTTCTTAGGATTTTCATCTCTAAAATGTTGACTTCCGTAAGAATTGGGACCATACTTGCTTGATGAATGCATTAATGGGATGTACTTTTTATTTTTATGGTAGGAAGAAAATGGCAAAAACCTGAAAGAATATTTAAGTGATATTGTTAATTTTATATCTACAGATATTTGATTTAAAAAATTAGAATTTAGAGAAGTACTAAAGCATAGTGAAAATAAAACATGGCTTGGAATCAGAATACCTGGATTCCACTTCAACCTCTGCCACTATCTCTGTTACTAACTTTTATGAATCTTCATGTCTCATTCAGCAGATGGAGATACCAAAACTTTTCTCACAGAATTTTTTATAAGTTTCAAATATTTTGGAAATATAGAAAAATTTTAATAAACTTATTAATGATGCCAAGTAACTTACTTAAAATTTATTGTGTGAACAAAAGCTTTCTTAATTTAAAAATGGTATCCAAAAATGAAAAGGATGCCCAGTATAAAAAATTCTCATTGAAATGGGTTGTCTTCAAATATACTTTCATTTTTTTATTGAGGTATAATTGACAAGCAAGGTTATATCAGTTTCAGATGTATAGTATAATTCAATATTTGTATATATTGTGAAATGATCATCACAGGTCTAGTTAATATCTGTCACCATACACAGTCACAGAATTTTTTTTCTTGTGATGAGAATTTTTTAAGATTCATTCTCTTAGCAACTTTCAAATATGCCATACAGTATTATAAATGATAGCATCATGCTGTACATTACATCCCAATAACTTACTTATTTTATAACTGGAATTTTGCACCCTTTTGACTCTCTCCACTCCTTTCATCCACCTGCCCTCCGCCCCCTATCTCTGGCAACCACCAATCTGTTCTCGGTTATCTATCAGAACTTTTTTTTTTTTTTAAGATTTCACATATAAGTCAGATCATATGGTATTTGTCTCTGTCTGACTTATCTCAATTAGCATAACGCCTTCAAGGTCCATGCATGTTGTTGCAAATGGCGAGATTTCATTCTTGTTTATGGCTGAATTATATTCCATTGTATACACCACATATTCTTTTTCCATTCATCCACTGATGGACAAGACATTGCCATATCTTGGCTATTGTAAATAGTGTTGCAGTGAACATGGGGGTGAATATGCTTTTCTGAGTTAGTGTTTTTGTTTTCTTCAAATAAATCCATAAGTGAATCTGCTGGATCATACGGTAGGGAGTTCTAGTTTTAATTTTTTGAGGAACTTCTACACTGTTTTCCACAGTGGCTGCACCAATTTACCAATTTGCATTCCCATCAACAGTACACAAGAGTCTCCTTTTGTCGACATCTTTGCCAACGCTTATATCTTTCTGACGGGTGTAAGGTGACTCCTTGTGGTTTTGATTTGCATGTCCCTGATGATTAGTGATGTTGAATATCTTTGCATATACCTGTTGCCCATCTGTATGCCTTCTTTGGAAAAATGTCTATATAAGTCCTCTGTCCGTTTTAAAATTAAACTGTTTCTCTTTTTGCTATTAAGTTGTATGAGTTCTTTATATGTTTTAAACATTAACCTCTTATCAGATTCATGATTTGTAATGTTGTCTCCCATTAAGTAGGTTGATTTTTCATTTTGTTGATGGTTTCTCTTGCTGTGTAGCCTTTTATTTTGATGTGGTTCCACTTGTTTATTTTTGCTCTTGCTGCCTTGGCTTTTGGTGTCAAATCCAATAAAATCATCCCTAAGTCTGAGGTCAAGGAACTCACTACGATTTTTTTCTAAGAGTATTAATTAAGGTTTCAGGTCTTATATTCAAGTCTTTAATCCATTTTAAGTAAACTTTTTGTGTATGTTGTAAGACAGTAGTTCAGTTTCATTCTTTAACTCACCCAAATAATGAAGGCATCTTTGGCAGAGGTTATGAATAACGGGGCTTTTCAGTCACCCAGACCAGTATCCACATCTTAGCTTTGCCCTTGCCAGCTGTGTTCCCTTATGGATGTTACTTGACCTCTATATGAGATTTTACTTCCATCCAGGGTTGTTGTAAAGAATGAACAAGTAGAAGTAGCTTGTTGTCATAGCCACCATTATCATTATCATCATCATTCTTATTTTAATGTGTTACCATGATCAACATAAAAGATCAAATTTTTAAAATCCACATCTAAGATTTTGATGTAATGTGGTGAATTGTTAAAAAAAACCTCACCAGAACCCTCTGAAATAAGAGTAAAGAAAAAAAATTATAAATCTACAAGAAGAAAGAGGACAGGAGAGGAGAAACAGCAGATTAAAATACCAACAAATTTTGGGCAGGTGAAAAGCAGATAGATAATTCAAAACAACTGAAATCGCAGTTCCAGAAAAGGGAGAGGCTAAAGGGAAAGGTCAATGTTGCACAACCTTGGCGAGGCTCAGGGAAAAAAGCAACAGTTATTGCAGAAGGTGAGAGTGAGGGATAAAACTGGAAACAGATTAAAAGTCTACGCAAGGAGTGATTAAATCCCCAGGTTCCTCTCCCAGTCCATGCATCCATGAGAAGAGTTTATTGTCAGAAACTTTACACTGGAGAGCTCTGGTCTCAGTGGGAGCAGGTGGCAGGCCAAGGGGGAAGCACCAAATGGGATATATGGGTTTTAAATCAGTGTCTACTCAGTGAACGCTTCCCTTGCTCATGTCTATGTGAACTGGCAGTGGGACTTAAACACTTCATCTGACTAATGCATCCTCTCAAAAGATCCTGGAAATGCCCAGAGAAACAACTTCAAATTTTGACATTTGAAGATTTCTTAATGAAAAGCGTATCAGTCAAAAAGCCACACTCACACACAACTACAGTTTCTAGTCTGATTTTTAGAGTCTCCTTTAATATGAATGTAAAAATGGATTACCAGTTGGGGGAAATACCAGCGTGAAAGACAGACACATCTCCAAGCATAAAAGACATAAAAGATAATCTGGAGGAAAGAAATCTAATGAAGGAAACAGGAATATACTTCAAACACTTTTCATTAATGTAATCAAAGAAGATATGGTACTAATGAAGTTGGAGTTTGATGCTTTTTTAAATAAAAGAAACATTTAGAGAAAAAGATCTGGGCAATAAAAAATATATATTATACAGTGAAGTGGAATATTCTGCTGAGAAGAATATTCTGAAATTCAGACTTTGGAAAAACGAAGTTGAAGTTCAACAGATTTATTGACCCTAACCATTTGTCAATATTTTCATATATATTACCTCATTTAATTAACACAAGAAAGGCTTTTTAATAAAATCTAAATACAATTGAAAATTTGTTTCCTTGCCATTACGTTCATAAATTTGCCTTAAAAAGTAAGGGGAAACAAGCATTATTTCATCAGTTTTCACACTTCTCTATAATTTATTTTTAATGTTTATTAATAAGCTGCTCTTTAATATTTTTCCTAATGAAAAATTCTTAGGAAAAATTTGTTTAAAATAAAAATAAACAGAACACAGAGCTTTGAATCACACAAGATTACACACGCATGTATTACATATGCTCCTGGGAAAAGAGCTCTCATATAAGACAGATTATGGTCCTTCCAGTACTAATTTGCACATGGGATGGACATCACACGCACAAAAATTAATGTGGCCCCAATGTCCCTGAGTATACAAGAGGGGTGCTGTGAGCCGGCTGCTGCACTTACACTTTTTATCACTTCTGAATTGCATTTTAATAGTACATTTTTCTTTTGTGTCTGAACAAAATTTGCTTTCTCAAGGGAATGGATGGCTGAGAAGACAAGGCTGAAAGACTAAGTACTTTCCTGTCCACGAGTTAATTTTACTTTCATTCAGCCATAATGTTTCACTGAAGGAACGTGTATGCATATTCTTAAGTGTATGTATGTATGTATGTGCATATGTAGGTAACATATCAAAAATATTTAGATGTTTATAAATATTTTTCAAATATTTAGCTTCAAATTAGGAATAAATTATTTAATTCTTAAATAGGATTTGCTCTGTAAAAGTATAAGTAGCTATGAAAACCCTAAAAACATCAATTTAGCTTATAATCAAACTTTTAGAAAATATCAATTCCTTTTTGAAATGTTATCTTTTACCAATTTTAAATAGATACTCAGATGCACTTCTTGCTTGCAGTCATTTCTTTTCAATTGGATGAATAGCATATAAAGAAGATACAGGTTAGCCTATTATTTTTATAATTTCATCAAAGATTCAGATCTGGAATAAATTCTAAAATACATTGTGGACAAACAGTGGCTTTAAAAACACATCACTACCTGAACGTGTGGGAAGAATCTGTAAGGAATCTCGGGAAGCAAAAATTAAAAACAGTCAATTAGCTTCAGGGAATATGAGTCCCTGAGTATACTTACTATATTTTCCAAAAAAAGAAGACTAATGAATTATATATTTTTTTTCTCTGATAACTCCCTTTTATTACCCCTTTTTTATATTCCTACTATTGCCACTCACGATGCTAGGTTTTCCTCCAACTCATTTATTTCACTGCCAAATAACTGAAATCTACAAATTATGGACCCCTCTTGCCTATTGATTGAAGCCTATATTCTTCAGTCCATCTGTCAAGCTTCCTAGAATGCACTTGATCTGTCCACTTTCCATCATTCCTTATCTGCCATTCCACTGACGCCATTCTCCTTTCTTTCTTTCTGTCTTTCCATCCTAGGCAACCTAATTGCCCCAATCCAGGCCCACACTGATTCCTCTACTGTCCACTCATTAAACTAACATTCAGTGAAGCTTTTATATACTAAGCACTTTGGAAAACATTGAGATAGAATGATGGAAGATGGACTATACCTAAAAGGAATTCTTGCCTAATGGCAGGGGGTAGAGAATAAGACAACACAGAATGTGTTAAGTTGTGTGATGGATGTATGCACAAGAGGTTACTAAGGTACAGAGGAAGGTTTATGTCTGCATGTGCATATGTGTTTGTAATATGCCAGTGTGCATGCTTATGTTTTGGGGTTACTGGCAAGCAGTTGGGAGATGGGACATGGAAAAGTTATCTTTCCAGGCTGTGTTTGCCAGAGCTGAAAGACAAGTAGTCAAGTTAAGAAGTTGGTAAAGGCCAATTTAGACAGAAGAAACAAT